GGACGCGGAGGACCGGGGGCCCCAGCTGACCGAAGTCAAGACCGTGAAGGAGGTAACGGACATCGAGCCCTTGCTGCGGCTCGGCCTTTCCAAGAAGTCGCTGAAGCGCATGGCGCGGGCATATGGCGTCCTCAAATTCGAGGCCATGCGCACCCACATGCTGGGCGGCCTGGGGCCCATCCTGGAAAAGAAGGAGGACATGGTGAGGGGCGCCGAGGCGCGCGCTGAACGAGGAGGCGGAGGTGGATGTGGGAAGGCTGAAGGGGGGTCTCCTGGAAGCCTCGGGGATCGCAGATGCCCACCTGGGACACAAACGTGCCTGGAAGGAGGAGTGCCAGGGCAACACCGCGGCGCAGGAGGCCTACCGCCGCATGGGCGACTACACGGACCAGTTCTACCGTGGCAAGGGCTTCACGTTCAACATGTACTACAAGTGCGCGACCAACAAGACCTGGGATAATCCCAGGGGGTGCTGCTCGGTGATCCGCTCGGATCGCTGGTCACAGCTGCTCTCATGCGCCCAGGAGGCAGCGGGAGAGACGGGCCAGCGCTGGTACTGCCACTGCGGTGCGCGCTACTCGACCTCCTATGGAGTCTGCGTCGGGTTCATAGAGGAGGAGTCGGATCCGCCACACGCGTACTACATGCACGCGGAGCATCCCGAGGAGGACATCCGCGACCTGAAGGCACTGCTGCGCTACGACAAGCTCAAGAAGGAGGGGATCCCAGTGGTCAACGCGGTGGACCTCCTGAGGTAACTGCCCAAGGTTGAGCCGCTGGCGGTTGGCACCGTCTTCAAGCGCTATGCTCCACACCAGGCACAGTGGGAGGGCCACTATGTGCTGATGGAGGGGCTCACCTGGGAAAGCTTGCCCACGTTCGAGTGGACCGACCTCTACGCGCAGGTCGCCCGGGGACTGAACGACCCTGAATGGGCGGGCTACAGCAAGAAGGCGCGGAACAGAGCCAAGAGGGAGCGCCTGGAGATGGCGCGCAGGGAGTTGGCGCTCTACGAACGCCGCCACAACCTGAAGGAGGGCAGCCTCTCGGGTGGCGGGGGTGGCACAGGGGCCGCCCCGCGCGCCACCCCCACTCGCAGCGCCAGCGCCCCACCAGCGAGCGGGGCCCGCGGCAGCGAGGACCCGCCACCACCGCCAGCTGGAGTCCCGCCAGAGGCCGCGGCCATCATGGGCCCCCCGCCGCCGCCGCCGACGGCGCCCCCTGATGCGCCGCCGCCGCCGACGCACCCGCCGCCGCAGACGGACTCGCCCCCGCAGCAGGCCCCAAGCGCTGCAGCCCTGAACGTGGCCCTCGGTGAAGACCTTGAGCGTCAGATCTTTGGGCCCGCGGGGCAGGCGGGGGGCAGTGGCGACCTCGGCGGGGAGGCGCGGGCGCTGCCGTCGCAGGTCTTCGCCGCCATCGCGCAGGGAACAGGCCAGCAGGCCTGAGGAATAATGAGTACATGCCAAATTGTCTACTTGCTGCGTTCTGTAGCGCGGCGGGCCCATAGCGGCGCCCCCACCCGCGTGGCGTCGCATGTAACCTGTGCCTAGGCTAGGCAATTGGCTACCTGTGCACTCTGCCACCTTGGCTCGCCAACTGGCTTGCCATCGCGGCCCCCTCACGTTCACTTGCGCTCGTTGGCCTCGCTGGCGGTGCTGGGGCAGCCCCGTGTACTGCAGCGTCGCCGTCGGGCGCCTGGCCATTTTGGCCTGTCATCCTGGCCTCATCTCGCGCCTTCATGCGCTCGTAGGCTTGGGTGGCGGCACTGGGGTCGCCCCGTGTGCTGCTATGCTGCCGCCTGCGCCGTACTTTTTGCTGTAGGGACAAGCTGCTCTCGGCCAGGCGCCAGTTGCTGCATGCACGTCAGACCTGCCCTTGGCTTGTCATTCAGGCCTAGCCTCGCGTCTTTCCGCGCTAGTCGGCCTGGGTGGCGGTACTGGGGTCGCCCCGTGTGCTGCTGTGCCGCTGCTGGCGCTTCACCTTGGGCTGTTGGCCCAACTGCCCACGGTGCGAGCGCCTGACGTTGCAAGCATGTCAGACCCGCCCTCTCACCCAGAAGAGGTGCGCGCTACATACTGGTAATGAGGCAGCCACAAGGACGCTCTTCCCTAGGTGGTTGAGCCATGGTGATGTGGTGCACGAGTCCGCCAGTAGTAGTAGTAGTAGTAGTAGTAGTAGCAGCAGCAGCAGCAGCAGCAGCAGCAGCAGCAGTAGTAGTAGTAGTAGTAGTCGTAGTAGTAGTAGTCGTAGTAGTAGTAGTAGTAGTAGTAGTAGTAGTAGTAGTAGTAGTAGTAGTAGTAGTAGTAGTAGTAGTAGTAGTACAGCTTAATACCTACATCTACATCTAGACCTACATCCACATATGCACCTACAGCTACGTATACATGTACACATGCATCTACATCTACATCTACATATACAACTACACTCACATCTACATAAGACCATACATATACACATACATGTACATCTACACATACATATACACCTACATCCACATCTACACCTACACCCACATCCAAATCTACAAATACACTTTCGCATTGGTTTTGCGTTTGCTTTGCATTGTCGTTGCTATTGTTCTTGCCTTTACGTGTGCCTTTGCCTTTGCGTTTGCCTTTGCTGTTGCTGGTGATGGTGTTGTTGCTGTTGGCTTTGCTATGCTATGCTATGTTGCGCTATGATATGTTATGCTATGCTACGCTATGTGTTGCTGCTGTATGTGCTATGAAATGCTATGTTATGGTATGCAATAGTATGCTAGTATGCGCGGTGATATACTGAGCGAAGCTATGATTTGCTATGCGGCGCCAGGTTATGCTATGATTTGCTATGTTATGCGGCGCTATGGTATGTTACGCTATGATATGCCATGCTATGCTAGGATACGCAATGCTATGACATGCCACTGTTGCACTAAGCCAAGCTAAGCTGGGCTAAGCTCAGCTAATCTGAGCTTAGCTAGGCTATGCTAAGCTAAGCTCGGCTAGGCTAAGCTCAGCTAAGCTAAGTTAGGTTGGGCTAAACTAAGATGATATAAGCAAAGCTAAGCTAAGGGGGCGTAGCTGGGGGAACCGCGGGGCGGATGCCGGGGGAGCTGCCCGGGGCGAGCCCCACTGCCTGGCCCTTTGAGCACATAGAGTAAGACACCCTTCTAGGCAGAGCCTAGGTAGGGAACTAAGGTAAGATGAAGCTCAGCTAAGGTAAGATGAAATAAGCTAAGCTAAGATGAGACAAGCAAGGCGAAGCTAAGGGAACGTCACTGGGGGAACCGCGGGGCGGATGCCGGGGGAACCGCCCGGGGCGTGCCCCACTGCCCGGCACTTTAAGCACACAGAGCAAGAACCCTTCTAGGCAGAGCCTAAGTAGGGAAAAGCGAATATACTAAAAAGTGCAAGTTTCCCTGGGAGGATGGAGCACTGTTGCGGGTCCTCTTGGATTGGTTTTGGATCGACGTGGGCGCCTCCCCTCTAGAGCCGCCTTGACGGCGGTCTGGGGAACCTCTTGACCCGTCTGGGAGCGTTGGAAGCCCCAAATCCGTCAACAAACTAAAAGACAATATCTAAATTTGGCCTCTCGGAACACTCGTTGGGCTGCTGTTTGAACCTTCTTGGGCCGTCTGGAACCTCTGGAAGCCGTCTTCAGGGCAGCTCGGGGCAATCTTGGTCCGTCGGGACGGCTGTCTGATCGGCCTGGGACCTGTTTGGCGGCCCCCAACAGCGGGCCGTGGCCCCGAATAGAAAGGTGCATGGGCAGGAAAAGTAAGCGCCGCCGCTGCCGCCGCCAGGCGCTGTGAAACTATGAAGCCACCCGGCGTCGCCAGTTCCACGGGCAGGTGGTCTCTAAAAATCTGTTCGTGCAAGCCCTTCTCGCTAAATTTTCGGGCCCCGGGCCTGCTCCCCCGGCCCCAGCGACAAGGGTCGCTGCCGCTCCACCCATTGACAGAGACAAAGAAAACCTGTGCCAATCAGGCGGCGTCCCAGGAACGGTCTCAGGTTTTTGGACCGGAAAGCGCATGTAGACGTACATGAAGGTTTCTGGGGAAGCCTCTCAGAAGCCCGTTGGGGCCCTCTTGGGGGTCTCCTGGGGGCTTCCTGGGAACCTCGGGGGGCCTCTTGGAAGCCTCTTGGGGGTGCCTCTGGGGGCCCTTGGGGGCCTGCCGCGGGCGTATTGGGGGGCTCTTTGGGCCTCTTGGGAGTCTCCTAGGGGCCTCTTGGGGGCCTCCTGGGGCGGGGGAGCTGGAAGGTTCAGTTGGGTGTCCCGTCTTGGGCCCCTCTTGGGGCCGTTCGGGGACGCGTTTGGGCCGTCCTGGGCGCCTCTTGGACTGTCGGGGGCCCCTTCCGGGGCCGTTTTGGGGCTCTCTTGTGGGCTTCGTGGGCCGTCTTGAGGCGGTCTATGGAGAGTCGGAGGTCGTAAAGGACGGTACGAAGGCAAAAAAATAGAATATGGTAAAAAATTACGTTTGACGAAGGGAGCGGGGCTATGTTTGCTTCCCGGGGCCGTGTCGGGGGATCTCTTGGAAGGGTCTTCGAGCGTCTTGGAGGCGTCCGGGGCGGTTCGAGACGCCTCTTGAGCCGCCGGAGACCGCTGGATGTTGTCTTCAGGGTGGCTGTGGGCGGCATGGGGCCGCCTGGGCGGCCGTCTGGGCGTTCCGGGGGCCGACCTGGGGCCCGGCGGGGAGCGGGCCGGGCCCCCCATTTGTGGTCGGGGCTGCGGCCCCGGGGCCCCGGGGCCCGGTGCGGCGTTATATGTAGATTCAACCGAACAACAAACGACACTTGCCAAGCCAGCCACGCGGATAGCACGGAAGGCTGAGGCCCTGGGTGGCAGGGCGGCAGAAAAGCTCAAATCGCATTTTTTGACTGTTCGAAAATGCGTTTTGGGCCTCCTTGTGGTTCTCGTAGCCTCCAGGGCTGCACTGGGGACGGAAAGGCGGCGGAAAATTCCAAATCTAATTTTTGGTCGGTTCGAAAATGCGTTGTGGGTTTCCACGGGACCTCGGGGCCTCCAGGGCCGAACTGGGGGCGGCGGCCGGGGCTGGGCCCCCACCATCCTGCGCGCGCCCGGTGAATGCGCGGGCGGCGCCCTTGCCTTCCCACTTGTCCTTTGGGATGACCCATGCCAGGAGTGAGTGGTCCTTACTGTCACAGACCGTAGTCCAAGCGTTTTCTATCCTGGCGCTGAGGAATCGCCCGCTGTCGCCAGAGCCCCCTGGTCCAGGGGGCACGATGCTGTCGACTGGTCCGTCGAGGGCACCATGCGTAACGTCTGGGCCCAGCTGCTTCCCCAGCTCGTCGGGTAGCTGGGCCCAATGGCTCCCCTGGCCCCATGGTTCCTCCTGACTCCTGGCTGAACTGAACCTCCAAACGCCTTCATATGATCATGTAGACGCACACGCGCACACGTCATCTGCAAAAACCGAGAACCCAAATGGAACCGGCTGAAACGGAACCGCCCTCTGAATGGGAATCGCCTCAAACAGCTCCGAAGACGGAACCGTACTGAACCGAACCAATTTCCCCCGAAACCAAAAGGCATGAACGGAACGGGGGACACGCTGGTGCCGTGCCAAAACAAGTGTCAGGGCGGAGCGGGACCGCTGGATAGTGGGGGAAGAAGGAAACGAGGAAACGGGCGCGGCAGGTGCTGTGCCGAAATAAGGGGATCGGAGCGAAGGGGGCGCGCTGGCTGGTGGGGGAGGGGGGGGAAAGGGGGCGGCGCGCGGCGCCGCGGCGCCGGTGCCACGCCGAAAAGAAGAGGTCTGGGCGGAGGGGGCGCGATGGCTAGCGGGGGAGGGGGAGGTGGGCTGGCTGCAGAGGTAGGAGGAACAAACAACTCCGAAACAGGACGAATCCACTCGCCGGGAGTCCTCCCCCTCGAGATCGCCTCCTGGATCGCTCATCCACACCTGCGAGGCCGGGATCTACCTGGGGAACCGATCTCCCAAGACCGAAAGGGGCGGCGGATGTGGATATCCGCCATCGTGCCTGCAGCATGACGCGGAGTGCCCCAGGCTCACGCATAAGCATAAGGCATTGCAGGATCTCAAAACTCTCCGACGACCAATTCTGGGTATTTTGGGCGCTTCTGCCAAAACGCTGCAACAGCCTTCCAAGCGTCGCTCAAACATGCTATAGGACTCACGGCCACCTCAAAGGATCGTCCTGGGATTCCCTTGGGCCGTGGGCCCGTCACCCCAAGGTGGACACCGAGACAGCCTCCCGATTTCATAGAGGTGTCAGGGCGGCCTCCGAGAGCTTCCAAGACGCCCCCAGGAGGCTCATACGAGGCCTCTAAGAAACAGCTGGTCAACGGCCCGGGCACGGTTGTGGGATCGGCCGAACCGCCGCCCCCGTAACCTGCCAGAGGGGCACATGGCGCGACCAAATACCTCTCTGACCCCTCCAAACAGTTCTTGTGCCGTCTGGCCCAACCAGCCGGCTGGGCTCAAAGCGTAGGACCCAGTGTCTGCCCCGTCTTAGACACACTCGGACCTAGGCCATCTGAAGATCCTTCAAGAACATGAGCCCCCTTCGCCGGCCAAAAGTGCACAATAGCATCCAACAAACACGAAGAACGATAGGGCACCCTCCCCGAATCGACCTCGATCTCAGACCTCGGTCCGACTGTAGCTCTCAGAGGCCCTCCAAGATAACGAAAATGGGCTAGTACGGTATTCAAAACATTCCCAACACTCATCTCAGGCAACCAAGACGGCCTGAAGATGGCCCACGACAAGACAAACCGAGAGGGCACCGAAACGCATTCAAGATCGGCTCGAGAGAAGCTTCAAGAAACTCTGGAGAAACACAACTCACTGATCACTCGTAACCTACTAAAAGAATTGAACATTATCGCCGTATCTGCCGTAAAAGTGCCCAAGCCGACCCAACAGATCACCAAGACCGTCGAACAACTGCCGAAAAAGCCACCAAGACCTCACGGGCACCAGAAAGGCCCGATGACTGCTCCAACAGGGCACCAGACGGCCTCTAGGGCACCAAATCGGCATCCAGGGCACCAATCGGCATGCAGGGCACCAGTCGGCATCCAGGGCATCCAGAGCACCAATCGGCCTAGCAACGCCCGTAACTCTGCACAACATGTCCCCAACCCTCAAGAGGCATTCCCAAAAGACAAGGAAAGAGCCCAGACGCCCTTTAGGGAGCCGATGGTATGTTTGCAGACAGTTGCGCCCTGGTATCCCCGTCCAAAATGGTGCACATCTTTTTCCCTGGCAGCATGCAGCGTCAACGCCACAGCGCACCAATGCATTCTGTAGATGTATAATAACGAAGCGATGCAGAAGGCCTCACTAATACTGCACACTGTCCACGAGCGCCCCGTCTCGAGCACGATGGCTTTGACTTGACACCGAGATGCCCGAGGCCCTAGAGGTGATGCGAACCACCGTGTTTTGCGCCGACTGTCGGTCACCTGCGCCTTGCCTCTCCACAAGCGAAGGGAGGAGGCAACGACTCGCCGAAAGCGTTTCCGATTGTATATTCGAGTCACACGGGCCACGAATGAATCCGCATTCCTCGGAAGCTAGATCAGCAGGACTTGGCGGACTATACCCAAGGCAATACTATAATGCTGAATAAAACCACCCAAAAGTTCATCTCTATCTTACCGATATCTATCTTCGGCACCCTGGCCCAGATCGGCGGGGCATAGGCAATCGGGGGGCGAGTCCACCCTCCCCCAATCTCTCCGACGGAAGAACCCCATATGATAATCTGTTTAGTGCGCAGACTACCAGGATGTTAACTCGGAGGCCGTCGCGACCCGTTGTGCCCATGGCGCCTTTGAGACCTGCGGGGCCTGTGGGTCCTGTGCGACCTGTGGGTGCTGTCCGACCTGCGGGGCCTATACGACCTGTGAGACTTGTGGGACGTGTGAGACCTCTGGGACCTTGAACACCTTCCGGCCATGTGGGACCTGTGGGACCAGTGGGTGTCCCTGGATCTTGAGGGGCCTGGACCTGTAAAATCTTTGGGGCCCGTTGGAATTGTACGGCCTGTGGGGTTTATTGGACATGTAGGGCCTGTGGGGCCCCTTGGAATTGCGAGTCCTGGAGGACGTTTGGGACCTGTGGGACGCTGGAGACGTCCTGGAGATTCAGGTTGCTGAGTGAGAGAAACACTGTATGTTTCTTCTAACGGAAATCCAAATGGCCGCCTCGGATTGGTAACAAGAAGCGCTGGCCCCATAGGGAGGGGGCTCCCGCTAGAGCCTCCTTTGAGATTCAGATTGCCAAGTTTGGGAAACCTTGTATTAGACAAGTATCACGATGACTACCTCGGATTAGTAACATGAAGTGTGGGCCTCATAGGGAGGGGGCTCCCGCTCGAGACTTCCTCGAGAGTCAAGCTGAAGAGTGAGAGAAACCCTGCGTGTTGTACAGGTACCCCGATGGCCGCCTCGGATTGCTGACGTGAAGTGCGGACCCCATAGGGAAGGGACTCCCGCCCGAGACCTCCTCACAATTTACTGACCGACGAGGCTCCCGCTAGAGACTCGCTCAAGGTAAATGTGTGAGCGAGTGTGTGTGCGTGTGCATCTGCGATGCGGATGATTCTCATGATGGCGGTCGATGATCCTGGTAGATGGTCACAGTGATGATGGTTGTGATGATCGGCGGCGATGATGTGAAAGTGTTAGAGGAGGGAGGTGCGGTTAGGACTGCGCGGGGAGTCCAGAGAAAGCAAGACCCTCCACTTTGAACGTGGGGGACAACCAAACTCGAACTTCCCCTTCTCTCCTCATCATCCTCCCACCCCGACCCCGTTCCTCCTGACCCTCCCCTCCCGCGCTTCTGGGACAGGTGCAGCGCCGCCCCGAGCCCAGAGCCGAGATGGAGGAGCGTCGGCGCGGCGGAGCGGGGGCCGCGGGCTGGGCGGTCCGCGGTCGCAGAAATGGCCGCGGCCGCTCTGGTCGCAGTCGGCGTGCGTCTCGCATTCCTGCGGCCCCCGGTCTGCCGCTCCCCTACTGCAGCGAGGTCCCTCGTCCTGCCCGAGGGGGCTCATGAGACGTGGTGTGAGCTCCGATGCCGCGGGCGGGCTACCCCCGTTCACGACCGCATTGGTATCGTGAGCTGATTGCGAGGCCCTCTCTCCTGCTCCTCCTCCACATCCGGCGACTCGAAGAGGCCGCGGTGCAAGTGTTCTGCAGCGGCCGCTTCCAGGCCCAGCGGGAACTTCTGGGCCGTCAACAGAACTTCTCAGAGTGAAGCAGTCCAGGGAAAAGGGTCGAACAAAAACTGGTGTTCGGAGGTGTGGGCATCCTCTCCTTGACCCCGTTCTTGCCAAATTGAGCAGACGTCAAACCGTCTCATCGTTGTCCCTTTTCCTCCCTCTGCTCCCTCAGCTGTGCTCATCCAGCTGTGCTCATCCAGCGCTCAGGGCGCAACGCTGCTCCCTCTCATCCTTCTGAGACTGCACGCACATATAATCAGAATGCAGTTCCTCATGAAGACACCGCCCTCCTCCTCCTCCTCTTCCTCATTACCATCCCGCATCCTACTTCAAGCCCTTCTTCTCCTCCCGTGCCCACTCCGAATCTACACATCAACTTCCCTACGTCGTCCTCTCAAAACTTCTACTCGGAGCCCAACGCACCCAACTGCAGCCACCTGCGTTCGAATCAACGCACTCGCACCAGCCAGTGCAGGCAGAAGTGGCAGAAGCGATAACACCCTGGATGGTCGATTGCGCCATGCAGCATTACTTTACGAGGTTCGCGATGTGCAACGGATGCCAGGACATGCTGGCCTGCGAATGCTGGCTGCAGCTCCGAAAACAAGTGAAACGACCAACGCAACAGATGGCACGGCGAGCCCGAGGGGGAAATGAGAAGGAGAACGCCTCCGGAGAAGGCTCGGAAGTCCCGCCGGCCTTCTGACAAGTTTTCGCTGTTTTTTGTTTTTCAGGAAAACACCGAACACTTCTAAGAAGGCGTGGGGGGTTCTGAGAAATCCCGCCGCGTTCTGAGAAGGCATTTACTTCTCACTTCCCCCCCTCGCTCGCCGACGAAATGGCGCAATACAACACAGCTGCACCGACTGTCCCCTACAGCTTGAGGCATGGCGAAACGCCAGGTGCTGCCTGGCTGGGCTACTGCAAGTCTGCTACAATAGGAACTCGACCACGAGAAAACCCACAAGAAACCCAACCCTGGGACCTCGGGATGTCCACGGATATTTGGTGTGGGAACGTCACGCGCTCCATCACAAAACAATCGAAGCCCAAGGAACCCAGGCCACCCTGGGGGAAAGCGAGGTGTTTCTTGGCATGGGTTCCCACAGTACGGCCACCCCTCTCCTCACCCCTAGCTAGGTGCCCCCCCCCCTCCCCAAGCTCCGTGGGCGGCCCGAATATGTCCCGGGGCTCTCCGAGGCTTTCAAGATGGCACATGAAGGCCGGCAAGGCGGCCAAAAAGAGCCCAGATGTGTCAAAAGAGGCACCCAACAGCCCCAATACATACTCTGACGGTATGACCCCGCATGAGAATTCTCTCGGTTACTCTGGAAATAACCTTCGCCGTCGTCCTCGTGATTGGTGAAACGTCCTTACTGTTTCCTCTGCGTAAATTTCCTTTTCGCCTTGGCGCAGGCCCTCCTCCCGCTCCCTACGTTGCCCCCTCCTCGCCCTCCCGTGTATTGTCTTCCCCCCGAGCCGATGTTCCTCGGCGCCGTCGCCGCCCCAGCCAGAACGGGCGCGTTCTGTAATGGCCACATCGCGAAGCCGCTGGAACAACCCAGCGGGCATGGCCGCCGGGACAACCTCGCGAGCCGCTGGCGCGCGAGACCAAGCAGTTGGGACCAACCCCGCGGGCTTCGCGCGGGGCGCCGCAAAGTCCAGCTCTGCTTCGAGCTACAGGGAAAACGAACCAGACCGTCCGCACAAGGTTTTGGGCGGCAGAGTGGGCAACTTGGAAAATAGGATTGTCACGCCGTGGCCAACGCCGTGGCTTCAATAATCCGCGCTCCATTCAGGCCCAGTACGCTCGGCGCTGGCGCTTGCCATGCAAGCGCATCCGTCGGAGGCCGAACGCGCCAGCAACCGTCTCGTGGGCCATGTAGTCGTTCAGGCGGACGCAGGACATGATATGAACGCAAGACGGTTTTTGTGAGGCCTGCTTTTGGGCACGGTTGGGTTACCACCCACGCCCAAAACTCTCGATTCTGCTCAGGATGGGCTACCACCCCCAGCCCGGTTGCAAAAGGCTTCACCCTGCGCCCGATTCGGCCTACGATGGGTTACCACCGTCAGCCCGGACGCCAGGTTTCCCCCTGCGCCCGATTCGGCTGACGATGGGTTACCACCGCCAGGCTCGAGACAAAGGCCTCCCCTTGCCCCCGATTCGGCCGAGGATGGGTTACCACCCCTGGCCCAGACGAAAGGGATCCCCCCTGCGCCCGATTCGGCCGACGATGGGTTACCACCGCCAGCCCGGAGACAATGGTTTCCCCCTGCCCCCGTTTCGGCTGACGATGGGTTACCACCGCCAGCCTGGAGACAAAGGTTCCACCCTGCCCCCGATTCGGCCGAGGATGTGTTACCACCCCCGGCCTGAACGCAAAGGTTCCCCCTCTGCGCCCGACCGCCGTCGTCCTCTTCAATCCCGGTTCCTGGGACCTCCGATCATCTGGGGCCTTCCCTTCCTCTTTTCTTCTCCCACCTTCTTCCCCTTCCCCTCCCCGACCCAGACCCCTCCGTCCCCCCAGGGAGCTACATTCCTTGGTCGAAAAGTCCCCGACCCGTGTTCCCCCGCATTCATGCCAGAAAAACCCGACCAAATTCCAGGTTGCAGGTTTGCCGGTTGCCCGCTCGGATTCCACGATGGAAATGGGGCTCCCATACGGAGGGGGCTCCCGCCAGAGACTTCCTCGCAATTCGCTCACCGACGAGGCTCCAGCATGAGACGTCGTCACAATTCAGGCCATGTGGCCAAAAAGAAACAAGGGTTACAGGTTTCCCACCCGGATTACCAACATGAAATGCTGACCCCATAGGGAGGGGGTTCTCGCCTGAGACTTCGTCCTCCACATTCAAGCCGCAAGAATTCAAAATTATCCCGGCAAAGCAACCTAACAGCGATGTGTAGAAGCATATCTGAAAGCATTCCCCTTAAGATTCAGATGAAAATTCAGTTGTCGAATTCTGCTGTTCTCGCAGTCGTAGTCGCATTCGCGATGACAGTCGCAGCGGCAACGGCAGTCGCAGTCACAGCCTCAGCCTCAGCCTGCCTCCTCCTCCTCCTCCTCTTTCTCCTGCTCCTCCTCCTCCTCCTCCTCCTCCTCCTCCTCCTCCTGCTCGTCCTCGTTCTCGTCCTCCTCGTCTTGCTCGTCCTCCTCCTCCTGGTGCTCTCTCCTCCTCCTCCTCCTCCTCCTCCTCCTCCTCCTCCTGGTGGTCCTCGTTCTCCTCCTCCTGGTGCTCTCCCCCCCCCTCCTCCTCCTCGTCCTCCTCCTCCTCCTCCTCCTCGTCCTCCTCCTCCTCTTCCTCCTCCTCCTCCTCCTCCTCCTCCTGGTAGTCCTCCCCCTCCCCTCCTCCTCCTCCTCCTCCTCTTCCTGGTCGTCCTCGTTCTCGTCCTCCTCGTCTTGCTCGTCCTCCTCCTCCTGGTGTTCTCTCCTCCTCCTCCTCCTCCTCCTCCTCCTCCTCCTCCTCCTCCTCCTCCTCCTGGTGGTCCTCGTTCTCCTCCTCCTGGTACTCTCCCCCCCCCTCCTCCTCCTCCTCCTCGTCCTCGTCCTCCTCCTCCTCCTCCTCCTCTTCCTCCTCCTCCTCCTCCTCCTCCTCCTCCTCCTGGTACTCCTCCCCCTCCCCCTCCTCCTCCTCCTCCTCCTCTTCCTGGTCGTCCTCCTCCTCCTGGTCGTCCTCCTCCTCCTGCTCGTCCTCCTCCTCCTCCTGCTCGTCCTTCTTCTCCTGCTCCTCCTGCTCCTCGTCCTGCTCCTGCTCGTCCTCGTCCTCCTGGTCTTGCTCGTCCTCCTCCTCGTCGTGCTCTTGCCCCTGCTGAAAATGTGGCCCAGGAATGGGAGTTCTGGGAAGTCGAAGAGCACGAAGTTGCCTACAGTTGGCTACGGGCATTCAAAATGTGGCCCGGGAATGGAGTTCTGGGAACTCGAAGAGCACGAAGTGGCCTACAGTTGGCTCCGGGCATTCAAAATGTGGCCCGGGAATGGAGTTCTGGGAACTCGAAGAGCACGAAGTGGCCTACAGTTGGCTGGCCTACAGTTGGCTCCGGGCATTCAAAATGTGGCCCGGGAATGGAGTTCTGGGAACTCGAAGAGCACGAAGTGTGTGACTGTTGCATCCGGCCCTCCAGAATGTGGCCCGGGAATGGAGTTCTGGGAACTCGAAGAGCACGAAGTGTGTGACTGTTGCATCCGGTTATTCTAAAGTGGCCCGGGAATGGCGTTCTGGGATCTCGAAGAGCACGAAGTGTGTGACTGTTGCATCCGGCCCTCCAGAATGTGGCCTGGGAATGGAGTTCTGGGAAGTCGAAGAGCACGAAGTGTGTGACTGTTGGCGAAAAACGAGCCCGGCACCCTGCCGCCCGGCAACTCCCAACACCTGCCCGGACCCCCCTGTGGAGTGATCTGTGAGCTCTTTTGACACCACTAGAAACCTATCAGTCTTCGCTGTTAGGTAATGACGACAATTACAAGGTTCCGGTGGCCCGCTCGGATTAGAAACATGAAGCGCGGACCCCAAATTAGGGGGGGTCGCCTGAGACTTCCTCGCAATTCACTTACAGACGAAACCCCCGCCTGATATTTTATATTTTCAACCCTGAAGAGCCCATACGTCCTCCATATTCGATCCAGAGGAGCCGATATGTGACGACGCTTACAGGGAACCGATGACCCGCTCGAATTACGCACGCGAAATGCGGACCCCATCGGGAGGGGGTTTTCGCTTGAGACTTCCTCACGCACTCACAGTCAAAGCACCCGCTCGACACC